GTACAGTCTGCATCATGAGACTGAGGAGTCAGAGGAGACGTGACATCCTTGGTAAACATGCCATACAAATGGGATGAAGTCTAAGTTAATACAATACCGGCGTTTACTTAAAATGCTTGGAAAGGTTTTCGTTAGTAGGGTTCCTTTCCCCAGGAGGTCAGAGTCCAGCATCGTTTACACATTTCATTGGTTCAACACAGCTTATTAAAGACAGCTTCTCAAAAGAAAGGGATAACAGAAGAGCTCTGATGTAGGGAGGAGGGAATGCAACCAATGGCAACCATTTAAACGTGCAGGGTATTGCCCTCCATTAAAAAGTATTAATAACCACCATTTCAGACTGAATCATCCTCTTCATAAATCACAATAAAAGGAGAAGTTCTAAATTTAATTCAACTGGAAGTGTGATAAACAAAGATGAAGAGGGACTCAAGCTTATCTTAGCAACACACACAGTGATGAGGATGAATATGGATGGAAAAACTCTCCAAACGTCAGTGTCAGAACCGCAACAATAAGGGATATTATTGGGTTGCTAAGTCTCCATAACAACCATCAGACGGCATCTCAAACGTAAACATGGGGAGTTTGTGAAACTCTGCTGGGACTTAATGTGTGCTTTAGGCAGATAAGACTAAGACATAAGCTTTTCAGAAACAAGCGCATCACGGGAGTCTTTTGTGAAACAAAGAATGGATTCTGTCAGAAGCTCCTGACACCTAATGTTAAGTATGGTGGAAGGTGTGTGGTGCTCTGGGCTTGTTTCTCTTCAAAAGACTCAGGGAATCTTTTTGAAATGTATGGAATGATGAACTGATTCAAATACCGGAATGCTTTACAAGGAAATTTGGGGAGCAAATCCAAAAAGACAAAAAAACAAAAAAAACTTAGTTTAGGGTCATCTGAGGCCCCAGACGCAGATCCAATAGAAAACTTGTGTGGTGAACTGATAGTACAGAAGATGAGCCTTATGTTCTTTATCTGTATGCTTCAGATAAAGAACATAGTACTGTTCTTTATCTGAGTACTAATACTTTTGTAAAAATAATATAAAACTTCTTAAAGTTAAAATCCCCCCTTACTGACTAAATATATTCAAAGACTTTTCATATTTTTACCAGTATCTGTGGAGGGGTGTCAGTGGTGGATAATTACACACACAAAAACAAATCTGTATTTAAAAACAAACAAACAAACAAACAACAAAAAAAAACCTTGCAAATATTTATCCGGAAGGATTTTTCAATGAATGTTTTACAAAAACTTTTTGACTTACTTTAACAATAACAATAACTAAAAGACAAAAAGTAAATATCCTAAACCTTTAACTTCAAACACCAGTTGGGTCTTTTTTCCTCACCTCATCGAATCTCAAAAATCTAATTTTCAAGCACTGAGCACCTCTGAAGTTTTGTGAAGCAAGATTAGATTCCAGGTTCGTCTTTCGCCATTAATGGATCAGAGCAACAATTATTAAGGCAGCCGCTAGATTAGATTGGGAACACAATGAACCGTAACCACAAATAAATTGTGAAAGTAGTTCATTTATTTTAATGCTGCAACTCCTCCGATATGCAATTAGACTCTACTTCAGCTGCACTGAGGCTGAAAAACTTTTACCTTCCTTGAGAGCAGCTTAAGTAAACGACCCAAAGTTTTAAACAGGCAGGAATTAAATCACAGTTTACATGTCGATTGACTTATCATAAAATATAAAGTACTTCCTTTAAACACTTGAAATTAAACACACGTTTGGAAGAATAACTGATATCACAAGCTCATGTTGCACCAAACTTTAAGATCAATCAAGAGGCCTCCGGTCAGCAATTATCCACAACAGCGGAAGTGCCCTTTAACCGATCTGGAGTCTAATTAGTTTTGACTGAAACAAATGGACGGGTGGGTCTGATTATCTGTCTGCACGCAGCTGCCCTTCCTCAACCCACACACACACACACACACACACACACACACACACACACACACACACACACACACACACACACACACACACACACACACGCGCGCGCGCGCGAAGGTGTAACCGATCACTAACACGCTTGCACACATGCAAATCTACAAACACACTTGAGCACGCCCTGCCTGCATCCATTAGGATGTGATAGGATTGATAGTCATGCTGGAGCACATCTGAGTCTGTGATTAAACAGAGCTGCTGATCAATGAAAGGGAATATTGATCAGAGTGAAACCTGATTGATGCTCTGAGCTCCTCTAACATTGTTGCATCTGTTTTATACATAACTGTGAAAAAGAAATAAATCCTAAAGTGCCTTATTGGGGCTCGTTTCCAGGCGAAAATATAAATTAAGAAGCTCTCTTTAGTAAATACTTTTCCGTTTCTTCTGTTTAACCTCATCTATGCCCATCCAGGTATTATCTTCCACTTATCAGAGATTATGTAATGGACGTCAAAGGCATCTTTCATTGTGAAGAAGCACCAGATATTGTTTTATTATCAAACAATTTAGTTTAACAATGAAATTAATGAAGGGATGATAATGTTGGTTTTGTAAGAGTTTGTACTATTGATTTTACCAATTTGTGTGAGAAAACTCAAAAATAGTTCAGTTTGAAACCGGCCAAGTTTGTTTCTCATGCTCCTATTTTATTGCTTTACTTTATGAAAACGTGGATAGAAAGTATCTTGACTCTTACAGAATTGTTTTATCTTTGAACTAATGTCAACATTTAGAGGTGACATCATCATGCTTCAGAATCTTAGCACATCTGGTGTTACAGCCTTTCTAAAACAATGTCCAAAGCTCTGGTGCACCAGTGGTCAGACATGGATAATAAGAGGACTTTGGGCCTTTTCGTGTTCTTGGACGCCACAGTTCCCCTGGCTGAACAAAATCAAAATAAATGAAAGGAGAACAGTGGGGGAGCTCAGCAACATCCGTGCGAAGGTGACAGGAAGCTGCGAGGCGATAAACATCCTGCAGGCTTGCTGGTCTCCGACTCAGAGAAAAAGAAGCAACCAGCTGCCACTGGCCTGGACCGGAGGCCTTAAATCTGGGCCCACGCTGTGCGTGTATGTCAGGGTGGAGGAAGATAAGTGGTCACGACAGAAGACTGTCAGACACTAGACGTCTGTTTTAGGCTCACTGGTGGTGAGCCTAAAACATTCAGGCCTGTGAGGATGAAATATTAGAGTTATTTATTGACTTCAAAGTAAAAGAAAGCTGGAAGGAGCTGATATGGGGCATACTGTGGTGCTAAATAGCTCAGACAGACGAATATATATTTAAACCAGGGGATGCCAATAGATAAGCAGGGTGCTTTAACTTTCGACCAGTGCAATTAAGTTAGAAGGAACATTTCAACTTCAGAGCATATTTCAACTGACTGCCTGTCAGTAAAAATACATGGGAAACATATTGTGTGCAGCCAGAAATAACATTCATCTTTCAGCACTGAAGAGTGAATAATCTCAGTTTGAAAAGCCATGAAAAATTAAATGCTGCAGCGTGTTTTCATTTCAAAGCCGATGTGTAAATGAGACGCGCCAAGCACCTGGAACTGAATTTAGCTTTGTGGCCCAGAGCTGGTGGATGGCCCTTGAGTGTGTTATCACATCAGTCTCCCTTGATCCCAGCTGTTGTTCACTGTAGCTGAGACGGAGAAAGGAGGTCGGTCAATATTCATGGGTGTGATTGCCAGCGCCCATCACGGGCAACGATGATGGGCGATGAATCAAATGTAGCAGCCTGCAGGGTCTCTGGTTGTCTTTCTGATTTGACTGTTGATGGCCTGATTTACATTTACACCTTATGCTTCCTTTTACTTTCAGCCTATAAAATCAATATGTTTTAATATCCCTCATCAAAGTGGAAAAAAACTAGTATTTTTACTGATTATAGGAAATAAACTTAATTTCACGCATAAGAGACCGTTTTAGACCGGGTCATTAAGCATTAGTGTTGGTATCCAAGTCCTGACTAGTTTTACAGAAACTAGCTCTTGGATTTTTGCATTAGAGTGTCATATTTGATAAAAAAAAGATGACTACCAGAGTACTAGTCATCTGCTACAGAAAGACAAATACAATCCAAACTCAGTACATCGTTTTGAACCACATCAATGCACTACAGCAAACTAAGAGCCAGATTTTAACCAGAAACAGTAGAACAAAGATATTTACCCAGATTGTCGCCCTATCCAGAACCGGTTTTCAAGTCCTGGCTTCAGGCCGTTAAAAGTTGCCCTACAACAAGACTAATCCTTCGTAATGATCACGGTAAAAAGAAATTAGTCTTTTATACATTAGAAGAAAAATGGTTTGGTCTTTACTTGATTGTGAAATTTTTTAAATCTGACCTCAAATAAAGAAAAAAAGAAAACACAACGGAGTTCAATCACCATTTATTAAATAAACATAAATCCCAAGTGGAAAACAATTCACCCAGCATTCATTGGGGGTGAATTTGATAGGATGCTCACTCCTGGGAAGACTGATGGCTGCCTTCAATGTTTTCCACTTGTAAATAATCTGTGCAGAATGGAGGACTTCAATAAGTTTAAAAATTAACTCCTGACCTCTAGATCGCTGTGCATGTCTGACGTCTTCTCTAATACAAAATACAATAAAAGCAACACCTGTGTAAGTTCTGTTTACAGACTGGTTAATAGATAAAACCCAACAAACAGTGGGATGTACTACCTTTTGTGTGATCTTAAATTTATAGCAATAAAACAAAAAACTATGACTTCTGCCATTGGAAAATTAATTTTCAGATCCATTTTCACACAGCCATATCTCTGTGATCAGAATCTTCAAAAGATTGCAGATTTTTTTCCCCCTTCACATTATAAAAATAGTTCCCAAGTTACAACTTGTGAAATCACTGTGGATCCCTGTTAATATTTTTAGAAGTACGTTTAAAACCTTTCTAAGCTGCTAATGGAAAACCTTAAATTCGATATTTCAATAAGAAACCATTTTTATTATTAAAAAAAAAAACACACACACACACACGCTTTATGTTACATGAAAATATTTTACAGCTATGAGTTTGTACTGTATAAAAACAACCAGGGAATGACATCAGCCGATTCAGAGCAAAGTAAGGAAAGTTGCACCACCTGCTGGTGTCAGATGGTTACTGCAGTTCCTCTTTTTAACATTTCACTCCTGCCAACAGACGAGCTGAAGCTCCTCACGAGTCGTTGGGAAGGCCAAACAGTTTAACTGTGCCTGCCTCTCGGTTGTTGTCATATTTGCCCTCCTTGTCGTCGCAGGCGTATGCCAGCAGGGGTCTCTTTGGGTGCCAGGCGACTGTGAACGTTGGGGAATCGCACTGAACCTCCCACAGCTTCTCACCTGTAACATGTAAAAAAAAAAAAAAAAAAAAAAACCCCCTTGGTTTACTTTTAAAAATTTCCCCCCCAAAAAAAA